AGCCCTTTTGGCGTTTCTGCTGGGGCCGTATGCTGAATGTTGGGGAGGGGATGGGTCCCCGACGGTGGACGGACCACTTCAACTCGGTCCTTAGAACCGCCACAATTTGGTGCTTACCTCAGAACTAAGCCTTAAAGAGAGGACGGGTCCGTCCCCTCTCCAAGGCTTAGTCCTGGGGTGAGCAAACCAGCCCTTCTGGCGGAGCTGCTGGACCAGCTGCACCACTTGCGTCAGTACTCTCCTACCGTACCGACCGAGTTGAAGTAGTCGACCGTCGGGGACCCCATCCCCTCCCCAACATTCAGCATACGGCCCCAGCAGAAACGCCAAAAGGGCTGGTTTGCTTACCTCGGCTTTGATGGCTTGGACGGTATACTATTCAGGCAGTGCACGTGGTATGCAGCGCCATTTGTCACCACTGCTGCCCTGGTGAAGGATAGGGTGAAGTATTAGAGTGACACAACTTGAGAATGCAAATGCGGCGAAGTATCGAGAAAAGAAGTCGTATGGGAGCCACACTATTCGAGTTTTAGATATATTTAGAATCCCGATTAGTTTTTTTTTCATTTTTTTTCGGCTTTCCAGCACAATCCAAAATCACGGTTCATTTCACACCAAAGATGACTCACGTTCATGCTGTCAATTTTGGATTTGGGATGTCAATTGAAGTATTCACCTTCAGGTCGACATCCCAGCGTTCGATTGGCCGATTGCAAAATTCCCTCGTTACAAATACCCACTGGCTGACAATAAAGCTTACAATGATGCCCAAGACAAAGAATGCCTGAAAAGATGTGCAAGAAAAAATTGCCGAATGGAAAAAGAAGGTGCGTTTTTTTTTGTTTTCAGGTTTTTTCCTCTTGATCACAGGTTTTCTCCAGTAATTTTCCTGTTACTTCGTCTCTCGCCCTGTATTTGGCAGGGAATAATTCTGCTATTCTTTTGATAGTTTCAATTGGGGTCAGTGGATGTGAATAGTAAGGTGAAATACTGCACCACAGGCTCCTCAGTTTCAGTTCTTGAAGTTCTATTACGGTCTCTGTCGTTGTTTTTATAATACTTGAACGATGTCATAGTTCTTTCATTTGCATTCATCATTATTTTATACGTCTAATTAGTTGGTGCAGTTGCTCCACTTCAGGATCACGACGTGGCCGCTATCATCGTTGAGCCTATTCAAGCCGAGGGTGGGGACAATTACGGAAGTCCTGCCTTCTTCAAACAATTACAGAAGATCGCAGCCGATAACGGCATCGTCTTCATTGTTGACGAGGTGATTCAATTCCGCTGATTAGGCTCTCTCCAGCGAGCCTTTGCTTCAGAGGGAATTCGTGTTGTTTGTGGCGAAATAATCAGCGGGTAAAATTCGGGTTTCCGAAAGAATACATCACTCACCAACTAGCAAGACATGTGTCTTTCATCGGTTTTCATTAACATTGAAATCAAGGGCCTATAAGGTGCACTTACCATTAGAGGCTTCTGTGTGGACATTCAGTCAGCCATCCGATGACGAAGGGATTTTCCAAAATACCTTTACTGACGACCCCCTCCCTCTTGACAGCCACAAAAACTTCTGCGGTGAGAAAATTCAACGAAGTGAGTATTTGACTTTCTCTGGAAGCGCGTCCGCTATAGACTTACATTATCACATAAATTGAATTTTTCTTGTATTTTTATTATACTATAACTTCAAAGCACGCACAACGTTATAACCCTTGGTTAGGGTCACTTGCTTCCACTGAACAAATGCAGTGCAAATTGGATTGATATTGAAAAAATCAGAAAGGTAGGGATATGGCTCTTCTTTTCCTGGACTATGTAGAAGGAGATAGCGAGGTAAGGACTTCTGAGTTTCGAGGAGAGAGAAAAGAATCGGTGACGAGAAAGCATGGATACCGGCGAGAGCAAATTAGATTCACGAATACAATTTCTGGGCTGACTCCGGATGCAGAAAGGTTTATTTGCATTTTGAGCCTCAGCCTGGCAGTTTCGTGTAGCCGGATTGGTACATGGTGTGGGCCACCCTTTTGCGGACTGGGGCTCGCTCCGCTGGCCTGATCACCTTCAAAATGTACGAATTGAAAAGACTGCCTTATGGGATTTCGAAGAAAATCGCATGACCTGGACATCATACTATGTGAGAAGTAATTCTGCGATTATTCAGGTCCAAACCGGTGGTGGTGGAACGGGTGATATGTGGGCACACAGCCACTGGAACCTTGATTCACCTCCTGATATTGTCACTTTCTCAAAAAAGCTTATTACCGGAGGATATTACTATAAAGAGAATCTTCGTATTAAGGAGGTAATTTGTCATCTACTTACACAGTTCTCTCAGCATTCACGAACTCATTTCTAGGGTTATCGAATTTACAACACTTGGATGGGAGATCCAACAAAGCTGTTCCTCTTAGAAAAAGTGGTCGAAGTCATCAAACGAGACGACCTAATCAACAAGACTAAATTAGTGGGAGAATATTTCCAAAGCGAGCTCGCGAATCTGCAGGTAACTTTTTGTCCTTTCAGAGAGTGTAAACTCGTTCTTGAAATTGATGTTATATTTGATGAGAACCAGAATGTAGGTGTAAACTAAAGGGCAGAGTGGTATTGCGCAATTTCATTTTCTGGGGACGGAATGCAGTAAACTATTGGGTTATCCCATAATTACTGTCCTCCCTGGAGCTCAGGGTGAGATCAGCTCTTATCGTCTCTGCGTCTTAGGCTCTGAACCTTAGGCTAAGGGTCTGATCGCTCCCAGAAACTGAGCCAAACAGAGCAATAGTCTTCCCTAGTGTCCTCCTTGCAACAGCGTCTATTTGAGGATCATAAAGCATAATCGTTCGTTATTGTCACTGATCTATTTCGACTTCTACTCAGTTATCCCGATGCGGGTTTGACCTTCCAAAACCTCCTGGCTAACGGTCTAGATGCATTCTTTGCGGAACCTAATATGACTCGAAGATTTTTGAATTTGAACAAAAATCGGATAGGAATTATGGGGAACCCAATACATTCATATGTGAAACCAGGCGCAGTCGTTATTCTCCATTGTGAGAACCAGTGACAAAAGGTAGCCTTATTAACCTTCAGAACCGAAATCTTATCGCAAACTGAGACATTTAGAAATGTGGCCAAATTTCGTCAGATTTCTAACATAGCCATGTCTTTTTTTTGCACTTACGCCTAGTGATGAAATTGCGATAACATGGTTTCCAGGCAAATCACTCGTCGAAAGTCAGTCAGGCTCGTGGTTTGGGAACCTTTGCAGCGATCGACTTCCCTAATGCTTCAGTACGAGATCAATTCGTGGACAAGGTGCAGACATCATTTTGTTTCTGAAGATCCCTTCGAATGAAGCTGTCTCTACCGTAGCCCTCTTGGAAGAGCAGATTCTTTTCATGCTTCCCTCTCAGTTTCTTTTTTAGGCAATCAATCTCGGCCTGCATTGCGGCGGATGTGGCGAGAAGTCGCTGCGTTTCCGACCATCGTTAGTGTACGACAAGAAGCACGTCGAAATCACATTTGATCTGCTTGACAAGGCACTCAAACAGTTATAAAAGCATTATATATAAATTATAATGTTCAGTGTGTTTTTGGATCAACATAGCTTCGGCGGAAAAAAAACTACGACATCTGTAACTAATTTGACAGTATTCTTTCAATATCTGATTTCAAAGGGGAAGAATGGCTGCGAGTTGATCCGCTTCATACAAAAAATTGGGTGCAAAATTATAAAATTGATAAGAAAGCTGAAAACTCACAAAAAACCAAACAACCAAAGAAAATCACATGAAAACTCAATCGATCGCTGAGTTTACATGTGATTCTAATGTGAATAGCCATAACTCTGAAGCAATTCCCATTACCGTGGTAATGGGTTGGTCGTTAAAGTTCTTCTGGCAGCATTATGCAAATATTTTTCAGGCGGCTCGTTTCCTCTGCGGTGTAAATCTCGGCTCGTCTAACAGGGGGGGGGGTCCTTCAGGACATGAGCGTTTTTTCAAAATGGTTTTCTGAATGTTGTAGAGGCTCATGTGAGGAACACAGAACCATGGTCCATTTTTCCTGAACGCCCCAGGAATGTCAAAACAGCGGGGAAGAAATGGTCCAAAGTTCGATCCTCCGTGATGACAAATTTTTGCAATTTATGTTGGCGCCTCCAAATTGCCGCAAAACACGACAATGACATCTATTCTCGACGATGGCGCCATTTGGCGGCAATCTGGGGCGCCAAACTATATATTGCAAAAATTAGTCATCCGCCGGG